AAAACTAAATTTTAAATCTAAACCGTAAATGTTAGACCCTAAGCAGTAAAAAGTGAACCACTAAGCCAAATAAAATCAAAAGCTTAGTCATAAAGTCTAAAATCGAAACCCTAAGTGCAATGCTCTTTCACATGTTTGCAAGTGCAATCTTTTAATACTAAGTGTGCAAAACGATGTTAATACTAAATGTGCACTATGTTAATACTGTCTCGGTCTCATTTTACATGTCATGTTTACTATTAATTAGTCAAACCAACTATTTCTCCATTGCTTATTTTCTTTAATAGTTTTTAATTATTTTTAAATTTAATTTTTTGTGTTTAATAGTACTTTTTATGTAGTTTTTAAATATATAAATTTTATATACTAATACTAAACTTAATGTTATGATAAATTGAATTAAAAATAACATCAGTCAAGTCCCGTTAGCCAAACTAGACAAACAAAATAGGATGAAGGGAGTACTAGATGTGCAAACCTGAAAATTTTTGAGAAGTGCAGATTTTAGTGTTTAAGTTTGCATAGTAAAGTTTGTGATACTTACGAAAACGCTAGTGTATTTTTATTTTTTATTTTTTATATGATATGATCCATTCGATTTTTTCAGGTGTAAGGCTGAGATTAAATTGGTTCATAATTTTCTCCTAACAGTGTGTTTTCATGGGATCATAAGCCTATATATAAAGTCCAATTTTTAACAAAATTTTTTGATGGAACTAATTGAAACGGGGTCTGTGTTAACCAATTCCAAATAATGAATGAGAGCAAAATAACGTAATGTAAAGACAATAATGTTTGTATATATTTTCTTATTGAATAACTCTTGTATTACAAGAATGTTGTTTTAATAAAGCAAGAGCGTGTTGTCACTTTGACAAAGACTATGCTATTTAAACTAGCTTCTCTAACCACTTTTTTTTTGTGAATAAGGCACTTTGTATGACTAGATCTTCACCCAATCGGCATGCCAACTGACCTCCACTTCATCTTTTGGGTAGCCTTTGGTTAACTTCGAGTTTCTCGGGTATATCTTTCTAGTTCATGCCTAGTCTGATATGAATATTTTTGTAATAAAGTTTTGATGAGCCAAATGTACTTTAGATCCCCTCAGAATTTAGGTCTTTAATATAAGCATCATAATTCAGAATATCAAGTCAGTATGCAAAGGAAAGACTACTACATGAAGAACAAAATTAATTTGGAGAATTAATTTTGGTCCTACAAGTATCCATCCGGAAAGAAGTATTAAACAATGGCGTTACAACAAATGATTGGATGAGCCTAATGGTGAAATGGTAGAAGTCTTTACATACAACGATCACACCCAAGATTAATTCCCTCCTAAGGATTTGTTTTTTTATAAGCCGAAATTCAAAGAAGCACGATCTCTCAAGTCAAACAATCACAATGTGTTAGTCAAAGAAGCAAGATGTGAAAAGAGCACAATGTCGCCAAATCAGAAAAGCACGATGTAACAAGTCAAACAAGCAAGATCTGATTTTGACAAGCAAGAAGTGCAAAATAAGCACAATACATCTCAAAAGGAGCAAGATGTGACAAACAAGCAAGGATGATCTGAATATTAAATAAATTCGAATGAATTTATTTTGGTTCATCTCATATGTCACAAGAATCCAAATTGCCTGAAGATATGATCAGAACATTGAAAAATTTATGAAGGCATGGGTAAAAAATCTTATCCTAAAAATAAATTCTATCAGAAGGATTTATTGCAAAGAGACGTTGGAAATTCAAAATTGGCAAGAATAATAATATTTTAGAAACAACTTGAAAATCAAGTTGAAATAAAAATATTATCTTGTCAGGCAAGTTGACAATCTAATCAAATTGAAGACCTACCATTGTCAACAATATCAGGCTATTAGATTCAAACTTCAAATATCAAAATATCCCACTCCAACGGATATATTTTGATAATCTATAAAAAGGCCATGAAGACTTGAAGATACAAGAAGTGAAGCAAAGTGCGGAAAAGAGACTACAAGTATTCTATACGAGCAAAATTCTCTTGTGTCAAAATATTCTTTGAAATATCTAGAAGAGAGACTTAGTCTGAATAGTCTCAAAATTAGTTGGAGGGAGAGATACAATTACCTTTGTATTTGTAATTGTACAAAGAGTATAGTTGTGTGCAAAATACTCTAGTGAGTGTAGCTGTGTGCAAAACGCTCGTAGTTGCTAAGTGTAGCTGTTTGCAAAACACTTAGTTGGCGTTTGAGTATAGCTCTGTGCGAAATACTCGGAGTTGGGTGTAGCTGTGTGCAAGACATCTGGAAGAAGTGCTTGTGTAGCGCTTATTCACTATTGTAACTGTGTGTGGAAAATAGTGAATTACTCCTAGAAGTGAATGGAGTAAAGTGGATTAGGAAGATTACGCCACTTCCGAACCACTATAAATTGTCTCTCTCATTTACATACCGCACTTACTTAACTCGCTTTACTTATTTATTATTTGACTAACCCGTTTACTATTCACTGTCAATCTTAATCTTTCGGGTTTAGTGTGTTTTCACATATGATTGTAACTCAAACTTATCATGCTTAACATTTAAATTATTCTAAGCAAGTTTGACGTGTTGCATGTGATATTCATCATACGGTTGATGTGGCACAGAGTCTTATTTATAATCTTGAATAATGTTATTAAATATTGAGTGAACCATCTCCTTTAAATATTCAAGGTATTCTTGTTATCCTTACACATCATCTGAGCATATATAACATGTGCATGTGAATATGTGATTCAATTTATTGATTGGGCATAACTCTTTACACATATTTATTCCGCTGTGCACTCCAAGTTAAATACTTCTCTATTTACTTGTTATTTAGAGTTGAAATTACCAAAGAGTTATTTATGAGTAAAAGACATTTTTTGTCCTAGACTTATAGTGACACAGACAATTTTAGTCCTTTTTTAAAAAATCAGACAATTTGTGGACACTGATATTGTGACGAGGACAATTTTAGTCCTCCGTCACTCTTCCCGTTAGGGAGGGAGTATTTGCGTCATTTTAACAATTATCCCATCTTGTTGTTGTTAGTCTGCATTCCTGTTAGTCTCTTCTGTTTTGTTGAAAAGTGCACCATCGCCGTTGTCGGGTGCGGCAAACCTGCAAGTCTACTCCTCACCCCGATGCTTATTTGGACTCCATGAAACTTTCCATTTCCATATACATAAGCCCAAACATCCAGAACTTTCTCCTCTAGTCCCTGAAGACAGCGTTAACCCAAGCCGGGAAGTTGTCGGACATGTTCGCCGTCACCGGCTCAGGCGGGAATATCATCGAGAAACAGATGGGAACCGTTCAGGATTGCAGAGACCTTGCTGGCTCCGCTGCCGACACCTTGCCGGCTCCGCCTCCACCATCGTCGTCGTCAAGAAGATCCACATCGTCCAATCCAAGAACACGTCTGCTTCTTATCCGTTTTCCCCTCCAAAAAAGTGATATTTAAATAGAAAGCATAGAAGTGGGTTATGCAGAGAAAGTGGGTCTGTATTAGGAGGAGCAATAGCCTCATCTTCTTCTTCCTCGTAGCTATCAATGGTGGGATTGTTAATTGTTATCTTCACTGTCTGCATTTCGTCGAGCACCTTGTATGCATCCTGACCCTCTCTTTCTTCTTGGGGTGGATTATTTACAAAGGTGAGGAGATTCAGGCAGTCAGGTAGAGTCTCCAGTTCTGGGATCTAATTCTCCTATGACAAAGATGAAAGCACAACATAAACTCATCCTAGATTTTTCTTTCAGAGACAAAACAAAGCCTTTTGTTCAAGAAACTGTGGACTTTGATCTATTAACTTCTGGGTATGAATTCAGTGTTGAATCAGGCAGGAATCCAGTGAAGGCTAATTGTGGAGATACAAGAAGAATTATACAGAGATACACTAAGCTTTATCATCAGGATAGTTTTAATTTCTTGGGTTTCGATCTGGGTTAGTTTTTAGTGAAACCTAGGTAGAGTTGTGCCGCATGTACTAATGTTTCCAGAATAATGTTTCTCAAGGCTTGGAGTTCAGACACCGATGTTGTTGATGGAGAAGAAAGAGAAAAGCCGCCATTAAAGCAAGGGAAAAGCAGCAGAGCTCCGCCATTAGGTCTTCCAATGTTAGGTCTCGCTGAGAACGAGAATGAAAAGGGGAAGAAGGAATGAGATCTGAAAAGACGAAATTACCCCCTATCTGACATGCCATCTAACGGGAATATTGACGGAGGACCAAAATTGTCCTCGTCACAATAATAGTGTCCACAAATTGTCTGATTTTTTAAAAAAGGACTAAAATTGTCTGTGCCACTATAAATCTAGGACCAAAAATGTATTTTACTCGTTATTTATTGAGAAAAAGCTTAAAAAGTCTATTCACCCCCTCCCCTCCCCCTCTAGACTTTTTACCACCCTATCGGGACCAACATAGTTGACTCGACTTTTCAATGCGGTCGACCCCAAGGTTAAGCCTCGGTCCACATGCTTCACTTGAATTAGCGGGCTTGGAATGTGGCCGGCCCGGCCTGCCATGCTAAAGCCCGCCAATCAATTTTTTCACTGTGTTAATTTAAAAAAAAAAAAAAATCACTGTACAATATCCTTAAAAAAAAAAAAAAACCTCATTGTACAGACGTACAGTACACTAACACAGTAACACTACCTAGTATTATATTCCTATAAATCTATAATCCTATAAGTTATAACACACTAACACAATTACACAAACCAAAATAACATGTATTAAATACTAAATATATATACAAAATTTATATGTATTAGCAGGTCGCGGGCTACCGTCTGACCCGCCCCGCCTGGACCCGTGACCCAGGCGGGACGAGCTAAAAAGCCCGCCTCCTGGCGGATCAAAATTTGAAGAACTCGTCCCTTACCTACAACGGTACGAGACGAGTCGACCCAACGGATAAAACTCATTTTTGACGGCTCTACTTTGAACAACTTTTTAAATTTAAATATTTTAAAGTTATAAAAAGTTAATTAATCAAACACTTATATTAATTTTTATCGCAGTTAAATAATTAATAATAGTTAAATAAAATAAAATTAACTGATAACCTAACTATTTTACCAAATAATGCCATAATATACATCTTGAAACTATACCCGTGCTACCTTTTTTGTACATCCCCAGGGCTCTGGGCCATGCATGCACCGCCCAAATCCCAACTTCAAAAATTTCATGATGTCTCACCGCCCTTATACGTACGTCTCGACACGTCAACCCAGGCTTCAATGCTCCATCCTGCACGCCGGCCCGGGTAGTCGTCGTCCAATAGTTATGTCGTGCAACCGAATGTACCATGCGCATGGTGTATATGATGTCGTTTTGACTAAAAACGCGCGTCTTACTTAAAAAAAAAATCAGGTTCGATTCTTGGCAATAGCATTATTGTGGATATATAGTTATGAATTTCTGGATATATAGTTATAAATGTGTGGATATATAGTTATGAATTTATGGATATTTAGTTCATTCATTGTGGATATTTAGTTCATTCATTGTAGATATTTACTTCATTCATTCACTGTGGATATATAGTTATGAATTTATGGATATATAGTTATGAATTTCTGGATATATAGTTATGAATTTATGGATATTTAGTTCATTCATTGTGGATATTTAGTTCAATCATTGTGGATATTTAGTTCATTCATTGTGGATATTTAGTTCATTCATTGTGGATTTTTACTTCATTCATTCATTCATTGTGGACTTTTACTTCATTCATTCACTGTGGATATATAGTTATGAATTTGTGGATATATAGTTATGAATTTCTGGATATATAGTTATAAATTTCTGGATATATAAAAATGTTATTGCCGGGAATCGAACCTGATTTCTTCTTTAAGTGGAACGCGCGTTTTTTTAACCAAAACGGCGCCGTTTTGCAACCGTATGCACCTTGCAAGGTGCATTCGGTTGCACGGCATAATTTGCGGTCGTCGTCGGCAAATTATTCTGTGGCTGTGAGTCCACATTGCAATTTGAATCTGGGTCTAAGGGAGTGTTTGGTCGCAAATTATGCTGTGCAACCGAATGCACCATGCGCATGGTGCATTCGATGCAGAACGACGTCGTTTTGTTTAAAAAAACGCGCGTCCCACTTAAAGAAGAAATTAGGTTCGATTCCCGGCAATAACATTTTTATATATCCATAAATTCATAACTATATATCCACAAATTCATAATTATATATTCACAGTGAATGAATGAAGTAAAAATTCACAATGAATGAACTAAATATCCACAATGATTGAACTAAATATCCACAATGAATGAACTAAATATCCATAAATTCATAAATATATATCCATAAATTCATAACTATATATCCACAGTGAATGAATGAAGTAAATATATACAATTAATGAACTAAATATTCACAATGAATGAACCAAATATCCATAAATTCATAACTATATATCCAGAAATTCATAACTATATATCCACAGTAATGCTATTGTCGAGAATCGAACCTGATTTTTTTTTTTTTTTTTTTAAGTGGGACGCGCGTTTTTAGTCAAAACGACGTTGTTTTGCATCGTATGCACCATGCGCATGGTGCATTCGGTTGCACAACATAACTATTGGTGTTTGGTTGAATGTAATTTGGGTGTAATTGAATTGTAATTTCTTGGAAGGTCCAGTTACTTCGTTTGGTTGGAAGAAATTGGGCAAATTATATCATGCACCACGGTGCATGATCAATGATGCATCGCGCGTCTTTTTGTTAAATGAAAAGAAACGGTGTTTGTTTTCCGCCGTTTCGCACCCTTTCGCAAAAAGTAATCCGGCCTGTTATTCAGTGTCATTTTGTATACACTGCAGTTTCAGTTCAACACAACTACAATTTCATTTCGATATAACTATAGTTTCATTCGATATTTATAGACTCAAATATGTGAAAATGTTATTTAATTTAATTTTATATACACTATAGTTTCATTAAAACACAACTACATGATCATTTTGATATAATTACAGCTTCATTGTACAATATACACTCAAATATGTGAAATGTTATTCAGTTTCATTTTATATACACTGCAGTTTCATTTCACTATAACTACAATATCATTTTGATATAACTGCAATGTCGGTTTAGATATACTGTAGTGTCAGTTGATGTTTAATACACCAAACAAGCAGACTCCGTTAACTATAACGGCGGGCCGTTTCTTTACTTAAAAAAACGGCGCCGTTTTTTACCGCAGTGCATGTGCACCGCAGTCTATGATATAACGACTGAAGAAATTGTAATTCCTTAACATTCCCTCCAAATGCTAATTGCAATTCAGACTCCCACTTCAAGAATTGCAATTCATGATTTGAAGGGAGAAAAAAGATAATTTAAAGACAATTTTACCCTCTAATTATTTTGTCTTATTAGCTATCATCCCCCTCTCATTCTCACCTCTATACCCCCGCATTCTCTCCGTTTCTCTCTTTGTTGAAGACGCAAAGTCAGAAGCAGCAAAGGATCGGAGAGCATCCAACGATTGTGGGGAGGGGGCCAAACATTTTAATAACATTATTATTATTATTATTATTATTATTATTATTATTATTATTGTAGTACATACGGACATTTCAGTCATTGTATCACTTATTTCCTTTCAATTCCATGCTTTATTACTGCATACCAAATACTGTAATTTGAATTCTTACTTTATTCTCACATGCATGTCAAACACTATAATATGAATTCCTACTTTATTCATACCTTATTCTTTCCCCATTGAATTACAATTCCTTTCCTCCCCTAATTCCTTCCTTCCAACCAAACACCCTCTAAATGTTCACAATTTACTTTTTAAAAATTCACAATTTGTATACTAAGAACACATAATGTTAACATATATATAATTGATTACCTTATTTTGTATTCACAAGTTCTTTTTTTCAATCACATAATATTAACAGATTAAAGTTTGAAATCTGTATTGTATTCACAAATTTCATTCTACAGCTGTTATGTACACAATTTATATTCTAGAAGTTCACAATTTCAATACTAAAAATACACCATTTATATGTTGTTTAGAACCAGGTTCCACCTTGCAAGGTGGACCTTGGTCCATGGTATAACAACTCTCATCGACAAATTATTCTGTGGACTCAGGTCCACCTTGCAAGATGGATCCAAGTCCAAATCTTCACGATTTACCTTTTAAAAATTTACCCAATTTGTATACTACGAACACACAATGTTAACATATATGTAATTGATTATCTTGTTTTGTGTTCATAAATTCCCTTCAAATACTCCAGTCACACAATATTTAACATATTAGGATTTGAAGATCCTGTATTGTATTCACAAATTCCTTTTTACGGCTATTATGTACATAATAATAATAATAATTTATATTCTAATTGTTCACAATTTTAATACTAAAAATACACAATTTATACGTCGTTTAAGATCAGAGTCCATCTTACAGACCATGATCCATAGTATAACAACTCCTCGTCGTCATCACATTTATATATGAGCACACTAACATGGGGATTTATCCCCCAAATGAAAAATGTTTCTTTGGAGAGCCGCTTGTGATATCCTCCCACCACTTCTAACTTGCTCATAAAAAGAGTTGATGTGAATCCGATTTATGCCATGTGTGGTTTATATCAAGAGGACACTATGACCATATGGGAACAATCCAACCTTCCAATCCCCAATATTGTGACGAATATTTTTCATGTTTGGCTTACTGAACTTCTAAATGCTCTAGATTCTGATGGGATAATATATGCAGCATCAATCCTATACAATATTTGGAGATCACGAAACGGAGCAGTTTGGGATCCCCTACTTCCGCGACCAACGAAGCTGCTTGTGGCTGCCGCTTCAAACATGCAAGCCTGGCGTCGTGTTCATGCTGCCAACGCCCGAGCACAGCCGGAGTCGCCATTACCGGCCGACCCATTGCCGCAGCCAGATGTACACTCCGACATGCCGCCTGCTATGGAAACCGTGCCGTCACCAAGAATTTGCTGTGTCGATGCTGGTTTCATCCACGAAACAGGCAAGGCCACGGTAGGAGCAATTCTACTCGACAGGGGTGGGGGATATGTTGCGGCATTCAGTGCACCTCTCCTGGATTGTTTCTCACCACTTATGACTGAGGCTTTCGCATGCAAGGAAGCCTTATCATGGTTGACACTACAGCGTTATCTTATTTCACCACCATCTGCGGGCCATTGACAGCTGCAGAGCAGCTGCATCCTTATTTGATTCTTGTTCGTTTAATTTTATTCCTAGATCAGACAATTATTTAGCTCATTCTTTAGCCTCTACTGCATCCTATTGCTATGTATTGGGATCTTTTTCCACCTGACATTATTGCGGCTTACTTCTAATGAATTATCACATATTTTTCAAAAAAAAAAAAAAAACATGAGGATTTATTGATTTAATCTCAAGAAAAAATTAAATTAAAAATTAATCTTAATTATTCATTTAGAAAGTTTTAACAGATCTAATGTAATTTGAGAGAAAAAAAAAAAAAAAGATACAGTAATATTTTTTATAATTTTTTCTAACTTCAAAAGTATAATTTTTAACAATATAAAGTGCATTTCTGGATAAACCCTAAATTTGCATTGTGATGTTGATGCATGTGTTGGATGAAGAAGTGGAATTAAATTGAGTTGGATTGGGCATTCAATTTGTAGAATAAGAAAGAAAGCAGTGTAAGTATCTCCAGGAATGGAGAAATTATTGTATCCTGGAAATAAACCTCATCTGCTCAAGGCACATAACCTACAATAATGCATTCTCCAACTTCAATGCCTATGGCTGCAACAAAGTGCATGTATGTGCAGACATTGGTCTGTGAGGTATATATATATATATATACACATCATCTCCAGTGACCTCTCACTGGAAAAGAAACCAACAAAAATAAGTGGTGATCCCTTTGCCAATGTCTTTGCAGTTTTGCACTTGTACCTGATCATCTCATGCATGTTTTTGAATCTGAAAAAGCCCCCCAAATCATCTGCAAAACAGTTGAATAATTGGCCAAGTGGGAATTGAATGGTCTCGAGAGTGGAACGAGGCGAAGCGAGGTTGAGATCACTGGGCAGATGCAGGCAGGGGTTGAGTTAGGCCGCGCCCTCTTGAGAATGTGTGTTCATGTAGAGCCCGATATGCAGAACGACGAGGATGAAAAGGGCGACTCTGATCTAGGATTCATAAGCACTTCTTTCGCAGATAGTTCATTTTTATTCTCTCTTTTAAGCAGCAGATTATCCTGAGTATCATCACATCACAGTATATAAGTAACCGGTTTTTAAACAGACAGCAAGCAAGACAGAAACCTCGGTTTAATTTGCAACAATGTGGAAGTAATTGAAACATGGGCTCCATCTCAACTAAAAGTTTTAAACTGATAGTTGGATTGCACATTAATGGTTATATGCTCAACAGAAGTGACTTACTGTAAGTATCAACCCATTCAGTGGCCGGACACATTGAGGAAGACTTAGCTGCTGATACAAGTTCTTCACAAACCGATGTTCTAATAACATGCTAGCTGTAGGCCTCTCAGCTGGGTTTCTGCGGAAACAACACTGCAAGAAATCTTTTCCCTCGGGTGATAGCGAATCAGGTATTGGCGGGGTTTCCTTTAGGACCTTGAACATGGCTGCAGGCTGTATATATATATATTTACATCGAACATTAAATTCGAGGAAGGGCTAATGCTAATGCAAAACATGGATGGAACAATAATGTGCTTCACTTACTCCTTCATACTCACTCCAAGGCGGTTTCCCATTCATCATTTCGATTATAGTACAACCCAAACTCCATATATCAATAGCAAAAGCATAGTCGGAATTAGAGTTGTCCTGTGCACCCAATTGCATGAGCTGCAGACCGGCAACAAAAGATATTAGTACTCAGTAACGCGATTCAGAGAATGTTACACGAAAACAAATAAGGATTAGATACCTCGGGGGCCATCCAATACGGACTTCCCTTCAAAGAAAGGTATCCTGCTTGTCCAGAAAGCTGAATAACAAGAACAAGGATTATATTCAATCAAAATCAAAGATACCACAAAAGACCGACTGTCCATATGGTCAGCCACTCAAATATCCACTCACGTGTTTAGACATCCCAAAGTCAGCAAGCTTGACGACACCATATGCATCCACAAGCAAATTAGCGCCTTTGATATCCCTATCAACATCCAGCAAAAGTGCTCGAGTATTTTAGTTCTGTTATAAATTTTCTATACATACACAAAACAAGCAGTTCCTATATATTATTATGTTCAAGACTCTTACCTGTGTATGGTTTTTGTTCCATGTAAGTAAGCCAACCCGCAAAGGATATGGCGGGTGAAATTACGAACAACAGATTCTGTAATTGCTCCACAATGATCACGAATGAACTTGTTGATAGAACCAGGATGAACATATTCAAGATATATGTAAAAACTGTCACCAGCCTGTACAATGAAGCAAAGGCTTTGTTAAGGGCAAATGTTTGCCAAGGGACAACAACCTATGCCAAACACTCACTATTTCACTTCCATAATATTGTACTATGTTGGGATGTTTGAGGTTGCTGAGAACTTTAATTTCCTGCACCGAAAGATGATAATTAGCATTAAGAGGACAAAATATATTTAACTTTTTTTTTTTTTTGAGTACTACTGACTCTGTTGCAATGTAGTATCTGTTCATAACTACTTTCTCAACCTACTGAAGCACAAAGATGATAATTAGCACGCCATTAAGAGGACAAACACTAGTTAAGGTTTCTAGGACATGCTAAGGTTAAAGATTAGTAATATAGACAACAAAAAACGGGGCGAATCAGGAAAACAACCTGTTGCAATTGCCTCATACATTCAGCAGATTTGGGATCATCTGGTAATAGTTCGACTTCTTTCATTGCACATAAAGCTCCAGTTTCTCTTTTAGAATAACGACACAAGGATTTAGTGTTTTATAAAAAAGACTGCACATATATATAATACATGAAATCTTGTGTACCTGTTGGAAGCCACATATACACTTCCAAATGTCCCGCGCCCAATGAGCTTTCCCTTTTGCCATTGGCCTTTGATGGGCATCAATTCTTGCATAGGAGAAACAGGCAGAGAAGGAGAAGGAGAAGGCTGTGGTGATGGTGCAGCAGCGGATGGAGGGCGGGGTAAGGGGTGGACATTGCTCTGAGAGCCACTGTCACGCCTCAACATTGAGGTTTCATTAGGTAATATATTCAGCGAAGGAGATGCAGGGCGGCTTGGACTATGGTGAGGAGAGTTATCACTGCTAAACGCCATTTTGTCCGGTGAAAGCTGACAAGGGAAGCCTAGAGTATGGTCTGCGGAATGAGGCATCTCAGAGGCAGACCAACCTTGGAAAAACGTAGGAGGGGTATAGAACTTTGGACTGGAATGATAACTGGCATGATTTAGCGGGCTGTGCGAAGGACTTGCATAAGGACTAGATGGAGCGCTAATGGCTGCAGGAATCTTCAATTCTGTCGTCCTTCTGGTGCCAATAGGCTCTCCAGGGGACTTCCTGCATCGAGCCTGACTTTCAGGATTTCCTGTGTTCTTTCTTGCAGCTTGGTTTAGTGACCTGAGAAAACCAGACCACAAAAGTAGAGGACTTTGGTTCATTTAACCCAGCAAAGCCACATTGCAGGCCAAAATGTTAACATTACAAGTAATATCAAAACAAGAATTATCAATTGTTGCACGCAGGATAGCTCAGTTGGTTCCTGCGTGATAGATTGTGGTCAATGACAGCATGACAACCGTAGTATGGGAGTTACACCACGACTTGATGGGCTCCTTGTAGACACCGACACTGGTCCTCCTACCTATTCGGCCGTCATCATCATTTACCCCTCCACTATACAATTTGACCACGGTGGGGGGTTGGGGGCTAAGAAATTTCGCCTTGTGGGCAAAGATACCGGATCGAGCTTGACAGCTCCAGTGTGGGAGTTACACCTAATATGGTGGGCTCCACGTGGGCACCAAGCACCCGTCCTTACACCTAATGAACCATCACATACATTTACCACTCCACTATTCTGTCGGGCCGGAGTGTGGAGTCATGGGACGACGAGGGAATTTCGCCTTGTGGGCAAGAATTATCAATTGCTGCCCGCAGGACAACTCAGTTGGTTCCTGCGTGATAGATTGTGGGCAATGACAGCCTGACAACCGTAGTGTAGGAGTTACACACGACTTGGTGGGCTCCTTACACCGACACTGGTCCTTCTACCTATTCAGTTGTCATCGTCATTTGCCCCTCCACTATCCAATTTGACCACGGTGGGGGGTGGGGGCTGGGGGCTAGGAAATTTTGCCTTGTGGGCAAGGATACCGGATCGAGCTTGGCAGCTCCAATGTGAAAGTTACACCTAATATGGTGGGCTCCACGTGGGCACCAAGCACCCGTCCTTACACCTAATAAACCATCACCTTGATTTACCACTCCACTATCCTGTCGGGTTGGAGTGGGGGAGGACGAGGGAATTTCACCTTGTGGGCAAGAATTATGAATTGCACAAAGATTGGTCGTATAAATATTGGCTCCATCAAAGAGCAAGAAATTGAAAATATTGCAAAAAGAAAAGGCATATTTAGGTAAAAATGAATGAATTCACCTCTGCAGGGAGAGAGCTCCTTCGCCTTGCCCATCGCAATTGACAGAAGGATGAGAATCAGTTTTGTCTCTCTTGACGTCTCTATCTTTGGGATTGGGAATGGAGTCCTCAGGCGAAGGCAGAGGGATACTGCAAGAATCGGTGGAGGAATGGGAGACTTGGCGGATGAGAGTTTGCAATTCCGGGAGCGGGAGAGGCATGGGAGAGGGTTGAGTCCCGGAGGAGGAAGAAGAAATCCTGGCCGGCGAATTGTCGCAGCTGGAGCTCTTTCTAACGGGAACACAAGTATCTATGTCCTGGTCGGTGAGGTGGTGGCGCTTGGTGGCGTGGCGGCGGCTGCGGCCAAAGAAGAAGGCCCCTCTCAGGGCGCACCCCCCACCCCCGGACACAATCAGGCTATCATCGGAATGTACCTTGGCGGAAGAGGAGGAGGAGGTGGAATAGACGGAGGAAAAGGCGCTCTGCCACCAATGCATTGCCTGAGATTTTCCTAGATATATCAATACTAACATGCATTACGTCGGAGAATAATATAATAATAATATAATATTAATAATAATTATTATAATATGGAGGAGGCGGAAGAGGACGCCGCAGTCGCCGTAGGTAGTTGTTAGCTTCCCCGGAAAACAATCCTAATAATCTAAGAATCAAAGAAGAAGATGACGATGAAGATGAAGGATAATGGGGGCAAGGGCGGATGTTACGGTAACAGAGAAAGGGAAAATGTCGGAATAATAAAAGGAAGCAACCTACGACGACGACACCACCCGAATGGGAAAGCGTCCCCCGTCCTAAGGTCAAAATACCTGTCTTCTCCTATTCCCTATTTCTAAATTTTGTGCAACTCAACCTCCCTTTGCATCTTTACAGACTTCATTTTTTTTTTTTTTTTTTTGCTTTTTTATCTGTTGACCGTGCAAAAACTTTTTTTTTTTTTTTTTTTTAAACAAACCGTGCAAAAACAACCTTATTCTATATCTTAGTCATACTTGCTTTGCATTTTTTTTTACGTCTGGTTCATTATATATAGACAAGGGATCAACGCGAAATTTCACCCAGATAAAATATGCGGATTAATTATAGTCATTGACCTTACCAAAATTAACAGCTCATAATGAAGATAAATTTTAAAAAAATACGGTGATATTATGATAGTTTTGTGTATTGTTAAAAGTTTAAAGCGCGTAATTGTAAAGTTTAAAGTGCATATTTTCAAAGTTTGAGGTACATAAATTCAAAGCTTAATGTGTGTAAGTTTATAGCGCTAGGTGTCTAAGTTTAATCTTAAGGTGTTTAAGTTTAAAACGTAAAGTGCGTAAGTTTATAGCTTAAGCTGTTTAATTAAGTATGTAGCTTAAGGTGCGTCAGTTTGAACCTTAAGGTGCGTCAGTTAACACTTAAGTGCATCAGTTTGACACTTAAGGTGCGCCAATTTTGCACTTAAGGTGCATTCGCTTGATACTCAAGGTGCGTCATTTTAACACTTAAGGTGCGTCAGCTTGACACTTAAAGTGCATCAGTTTGACACTTTAAGGTGCATCAATTTGACACTTAAGGTGCGTCAATACGACACTGTCAGTTTGAAACTTAAGGTGCATTATTTTGAACCTTAAGGTGCATCAGTTCAACAATGGTAGGAGGAGAATACATCCAGTTCCCAGGAAGTGCTTTTTTTAAAAATTTTCCTTGATTTGAGCCGTTGATCTAGATTAGATCAACGGCTCAAATCCCACCCCATCTTTCACCTGGGAGACTCGTGCGGTTGGATGTGTCCCGTGCGTTTGTGCGGTTAAATATGAGTCATTGATCTTGCCTAAATCAACGTCCAGGGTTAGCAATGATTAAAAAATGCACTTTGGTTTTTGCATCAGGTCAAATTTAAGGTGCGTGATTTTTCTTCGATCTTATGGTGCATGGTTTTTCTTCTTAAGGTGCATGGTTTTTATGCTTAAGGTGCGTCAGTTGTTGAAAACTTAAGTGCGTTGATTTAAAGCTTTAGATGCGTGGTTTTTCTTCTTAAGGTGCGTGGTTTGTGTGCTTAAGGTGTGTCGGCCTAATAAAACTTTAGGTGCGTGGTTTTACTTCTTAAGGTGCGTCAGTTGTTGTACCTTAAGGTATGCCATTTTAAAACTTTAGGTTTGTGGCTAGTGTTTCTCAGGTGCTTTGTTTCAATTGTTTGTATACTTAAGGTGCGTGGTTTGTGTTTTTAAGGTGCTTTGTTTGTATGCTTAAGGTGCGTGATTTGTGTACTTAGGGTGCGCCATTTTAATGCTTAAAGTACGTCTTTTTGTGTTAACCGCACAACCGCACGGGAAGCTATCTTTGCACCTGATCCACTCCATATATATATATACATATATATATACATACATACATATATATATATATATATATATATATATATATATATATATATATATATATATATATATATATATATATATATATATATATTTATATATATAAGAGATCTAATGCGAATGTGCTGCCAGGTGAAAAATAGGATTAAATATAAGTCATTGATCTAATCAAGATCAATAGTCCGGAATGAAGGAAAATTAAAAAAAAAAAAAAATGTAGTGGCATTTCGGTATTTTGTTGTGTTTTTGCATTCTGTTCAAATCCTTAAAATCACAACAATATGTATTCGAATGTACAATAATATGTACTCGAAAGAACAAATTATTTGAAGGTACAACAATATGCACTCAAAGAGATAACAGTGTATGCAATTGAAGGCAAAATAATGTGCACACCAAGACACAACAACATGCATTGTACTGAAACACACAAATTTGTGCACTTCAAGGCACAACATTTAGTAGAGTTTATAACATTTTGTACATATTTCATTCCCAGAACAGTATAATCAATATGTTTTATGTAGATTTGTTACATTCGCAAAAAATATACACTAAAAGGCTCAATTATGTATTGGAAGATATAAAATTGTGCATTGAAAGGCATTACAATATGCAATGGAATTGTGTTTTTGCATCATGTTTAAATATATATTAACCCACCGGTCAAATCCTAGTCTTCATGCGCGTACAAACATACATTCCACGCCTTTCATTATTCTGAACCTTTTTCTTATTCATGTTGCTAGTGGGAATTGAAGTCAAGACAAAGTATAAATAAGGCTGGTCGAGTGCACCTCAAAGGCTGTTCAGAATAAAGCCAAATATGATAGAGACACCTCAAAAATAACGAAGTACACAACACATGGAAGCCAATAAAAACACATATATGCAAAAAAAGTCAGCTCTCCGGCCAGCAGTGAAATGGAAAGTGTGCAGGAGACTGAGTCATTGGAAGGTTGAAAGCCAATATTACAATGTGAAAGAGATGGGAGTATTTCCAAATTGGCATCCCACATTCCGCCCAGCAAAAAGCATGCCCTACTAGCATCGTGTACGGCGGGGTGAACCTCTGTAACTTTTATTAATATTAGAAAAAGTATAAATAAGAACTTGAAATAATGAGGTCAAATTAACTAAGAGCATCCACACTTGTGGATATTGTTGAGATAATTCAGCATTAATTCTTCCCTTATTGAGATAATAGCTAGTGTGGACATGGGATAATTGAGAAATAATCTCCCTGCAAATGTAGGGAGATTGTCAGAAAAAAAAAAAAAAAAAAAAAAAAAAAAAAGAGAAAGAAGAAGAAGCAAGGCTGTGCGCGTTCGCGCACAGCCTTGGGCAAAAGCCGGGCGCGTGCACTGCACGCGCCCGGAGGCGCGTCAGGCGCGCCTGACGCGTCTGAATACTTTCTTTTTTTTTTTAATTTTTTTTTGTTTTGTTTTTTCTTTTTTTTTTTCTCTCCTCTCCCACACTCTCTTTCCTAATCACTCTTACATTATCTCCCCATTCTTCCCAACCAATGTGGATGCTCTAAGAACTATATACAAAAATGTAATTGAATCATCAAACTCAAAAAATTATATTAATTAAACTTTTTTTTTTTTTCAATTTAGTGTAAGGATGAGAAATACCTATCATATCGTTAAAATTAACCTCTAACGTGACGATTAACTTTTAAAAAAATTAATAATATTATTTTTGAATTAATACTATATGGAGTCTCTGAGTATAGTGGTGTTGCCACGTTTAGTCATAAACTTTCAAATTGACCACCTGTGGTCCTTTGACGTTCAATTTGTTAGCATCTGTGATCCAAGTTAATTACTCATGGTCTTTCAACTATCAAATTTTAACCACCCATGATCCTTTTAGGAGGACCACAGTTAGTTAAAATTTAGAAAGTTGAAGGACTATGAGTGGTAAACTTGGACCATAGAGGGTAACAATTTAAGTCAAAGGATAATAGGGTCAATTTGAAAGTTTAGGACTAAACGTAGAAAAATCACTATACTCATAGGACCCCTCCATATGACATTAACTATGTTATATATATATATATATATATATATATATATATATATATATATTAATGTTTAACCAATTTTAAATATTAATTAAAAGAAAAACTCAACTCACCCCGCCCTTCCATCTCTAGTTGGAGACAAAGGCTCTATTTGGCAGAGCTTATAGCTTATTTTAAGCTACTAATAAGCTATAAGCTCTGTTTGGTAATGTTCCTAAAATAAGCTCATAGCTTAAAATAAGAGCTTATTTTGGAACGCTACTTTAGGTAGCGTTTCAAAATAAGCTTCTAGCTTCCTAACTTTTTGTCCATCTTTATCCTTATTATTTTAAAGAAATGACATAATTTACCCTTCCCAATTAAAACCCTTTTATCTTATCTTTTATCAGCAACTTTCACCACAAATATTATTATTATTATTATTATTATTATTATTATTATTATTATTATTATTATTATTATTATTATTATTATTATTATTATTATTATTATTATGAGATTTGCAACAATATTGCTACTTCATTATGAGATGCTAGATCATGATTATGCTAATAGTTTTATTTCAAAATGTTGATTTTTTTTAAAGACAAAATGTTAAATTTTAATATGTAATCAAACTAATTTAAATTTTATGAAGATGTCATTTTTAGTCTTTTTACATTTATCAGCTTATAAAAAAGCTAATTTTACCAAACACTTTCAATCATAACAGCTAGCTTAACAGCTCTTTAGTTTTCAGCTCAGCTCTTTAGTTTTCAGCTCCGAGCTTATAGCTTTTCAGCTTTCAGCTCCTTTTCAGCTTTCAGCTCCTAGCTTATAACTTTTCAGCTAGGTTTGCGAAACAGAGCCAAAGATTGATGCCTGTCTTTACGAAGAGGTTTTTCTTCATATTCTTCCAAAAGGTTGAACCACAATCTTAAGGGCCCCCCACACCCCGCCCTGACAAAGAATTTGAGATGAAGTTTTTCTTCATATTCGACAAGAGACGAAAAGAAGGGGGTGGTTACGTTAGTTTTTTTTTTTTTTTTTTTTTTTTTTATAATATATATATATATATATATATATATATATATATATATATATATATATATATATATATATATATATATATATAAATTATAATATTTAAAATTGATAAAAAAAAATAATTAAAAGTTAACCATTGCGTCAGCTGTTAACTCGGAGGTTAGGCCATTTATTACTCAATTGTAAGAATTTAACTTTTTTTTTTTTTTTTTTTTTTTTTTTTTTTTTTTGTTGAAACCAATAATTTAACTTGTTTAGAGAGTTCATTACAATTTTTTCATTTGTGTTACATAATCTAATTACAATTTCATGGATAATTTAGTGGTTAACTTTACTCTTATGTTTAAAAACTTTACCCATATGGCCATATATGGACAACGAACATTCTGTCCCAATTTATGACTTTAACTCTTTAAGCAGCAAGTTTTATAAATTGGGAAAACAGAGAAATTTATGTAAAACTATTTAACGAATTTGAAAAATGGGCCAAGACCTTGTGGTCTAATGGCACCAAGGTTGGACTCTTATATGGGAGATTGTGGGTTTGACAATATGTATTGTTTAAAAAAAAAAAAAAAATTGTGCCCAAAAGTTATAGGTTTTCAAAATAATATATTTGGTTAGAAAAGTAATACTTGAAGCAACAACTAACAAGTTTAAAATAAAATATATCACTTTTTAGTTAAAAAATATTTTCTCTCATATATGACTCATCATGTTTATTATTCATGGATCAAATCAATTTTTTTTTTTTGTTTAGTTATTTTCTTTAATGTTTTTTTATCGTTTTCAAATTTGATTTTTGTGTGGTATACAAACTACGCCTCCATCAGGGCTTAAACCCAACACCCCCACATAGGGGAGTAACGTGATACCAGTGGACCACATATATAAACTGGGCTCGTCGGTCCAATTAAGAAGTAGCTCTAAAAAAATGGCTCTTTAATTAAAGATATTTTGAAAAAAGGGGCAATGCCTTTAGCCCAAAATTTAAAGAGCATTTGTTCTGGACCATGGTCCACAGTACTAGGTGGACCATGGTCGTCAGATGAAATTGTAGTAGAATTAAAATGATATTTCAGTGTTGTTATAATGAAACTAGTGTGTGAGAAAAATGAAACTAAAAAACAGAGCTCATTCAACAACGTATATTGTCAAATGAAACTGTAGTATAATTAAAATGATATTTTAGTATTGTTACTAATTTATATAAAATTTATAAATTAGTAATAAACTAAATATTATGAAAAATTTAATTGTAAATAATTTAAGTGAAATCTCATTAACTGAACCAAACACAAAATGTGATAAATGAATTGAAGTAACACTTTTGATGTAAGAATTATTACTTTTCAAGGGAAAATTAACTATTTGTCAAAAAGCATTATATAACACATTTAAAGGCTATGTTTGGCAAACATAGTTAAAAAAAGAGATTATACCAATCCTTTTACTATTGCGATTTACTTGTAAAAGTTCACTAATTAGTTTTTTTGCTTGATTTAGTCCTTTAACTACGAAAAACGTTACCTAAAGTAATTCCTTATTAGATTTTGTGTTAAAACTCTGTTTGACATAGGGGTATTATCGTCCTTTTAGTCCGTTGGCGCCTATGCATACCTTCCAGAGCTAAAATGGAAAACCAAATCCTTAATTTTCCATTCGAATCCAAGAAGACCTCCATCCTCTGCATCCGATTGTTCTTTGTAATGCCATCTATAAAATCATGGCAAAAATGGTTGCAATCGGTTGAAAATCATTCTTGATTATGCTATAGGTGTTAATCAGAGTGTCTTTCTTCTTGGGAGACTTATTATTGACAATGTTTTGGTTACCTCCAAGGTTATTCATTGGCTTAACAGGAAGAATGGTGGGCCCATTGGTTGATGTGCCCTCAAGTTAGATATGATAAGATGGAATGAAACTTTCTCAAAAAGGTGATGGTTGCTGATGGAATAATCACGGAGCCGGAGCGGAGCAACGCAGGACAAGCCAGGTCAGACCCGGAGCAGGACGAACCACCCCGGGGTCGGCCTGGGCCGACCCCCCAAGCTCGGCCGAGCCCCTTGGGCTCAGCCACATGGGCTCGGCCCGTTGGCCGAGCTCCGTGCTCGGCCAATGGCCGGGTCCTCGCGTGGAGCGAGTCCCGCGCCGCGGGCCGCGGCTCCTTCCGCAGGACCGGGGCCCGTAGCATTCAGGGGTATATAAACACCCCCGGTGTCCTAAGGAGACATCTCGGACTTTTCCTACGGCATTTACCTTGTTATTACACGTCCCGAACCTCTGTAATAGCGTTCTATATTCAATCAATACGATATTTACCGTTTTATTATCCGTTCTTCATATTCAATATATATTCGGGTTGTATAATCCGGACCCCCGGGTTCATATAATCCATCAGTTGCAATGGGCTATGATGCAAGATTTATTGATCTTATCATGCTTTGTGTCTCTACCCTGAAATACAGGTTGTTGATCAATGGCAATCTTCCAGAGGTTCAGACAGTGTATGAAGAAGGTATAATATGTCAAGTCGATGCAGGCATGCAGCAGTGTTTCCAGAGCGGGGAGGAGCTTATAATGGAGTGGTTTTGTGTTGAATGCTAATAAAGAGAAGGCCCCTTCGTTGTCTCAATGATCCCCATACTGCCGAAGTACTTGCAGTTAAAGAGGCCTTATCTTGGGTCAAAAATAAAGGGAGACATCACTTGTTGAAACGGATTGTCAAAATGTGTGTTTTCTATTGAATTCGGCATCTCCAGATTGTTCTTATATATGCAGGTTGTGTTATTGAGTGATTTCGTTTGCTTGTCAGACACTTTGAAATAGTGTATCCTTTCATTTTGAATGTGTTAATCCATTCTATAGTTAGGTGATAGATTCTTAGGCTGATTGTCTATTTGGTTATGTTCAATTCCTTCTTGTATTGAACATTTATTCCTTTTATATAAAGTTTTGATTATTTCAAAAAAAGAAGAAGAAGAAGTTTAGTAAAATATGTAAACATATAAATACATTATTTCTACCTACTATCATCAACCCATGGAAGATAGAATTTATGGTAACCACATCATGGTGAGTATGCATCAATCATATGCTATTAATTTTAAACGTAATAAATTAATTATAATAAATGTCATGTGTTATGAATAAATTGTATAATAGATTTTTATGATGTATGTAAAATATGTTAGGAACTTAGAACCAAAAAAATTCAATTGAAAAATGTATCAAATTAGCCCCTAATTCTAATGAATAGTGAAATTAGTTCTCTTACCTAGAAAAAAAAAACCTTTAAAAATGCCTTCTAAATCTACAAAATGGTGCAATTAAATCCTATTATTACCTACTCAGCAAGTTATCACTAATGTTGTCTATCTCTATCTCTTCTCTATCTCTATCTCTATCTCTATCTCTATCTCTATATCTCTATCTCTTCTCTATCTCTATCTCTATCTCTATTAAAGCAAAATGATTGGAAATTTTTTTTCCTCCAAAGTGTGAAAGCATTTATTGTATTAACATTAATTTATAAATTCATGTAATTTTAATTACAAATCAAATTGCCAAGCACCTTGTGCTCATGTGGGAGGTCATGAGATCGAGAATCGGTGGAGGTGTTGTTGACTCTTTGTGCTTCATTAGGTTGAGAAAGTGGCGTTGTTGACTCTTTGTGCTTCATTAGGTTGAGAAAATATATATGTTTGAACAGATACTACAATGTCATAGAGTCAGTAGCAGCAAAAAGATTTTAGTGGGTAGGAGAGTAATTCACAAAATTAATTTGAGTAATAAGTGTTGATCCATAATTGAGAATTAAAATTGCAATAAATGCGTAGTAGACATGAAGAAAAAGGTGAGGATAAAAATCATACCTTGTTTCTGAACCTGGGGCTTCGCTGTTAGCTGTGTTGTAGCTCATGAACGCGAAGAAGAAGAAGCAACTTACGTAAAAAGACTATTTTATCCTCATGAATAAAAAATTTAAAACGGTTTAAGTTTTTTCGGCCAATTTCCACCGGTGATTTGGCTGAAAGGACCAAATTTGCTAAAAAAAAAGCATAGTTAAAAGACTAAATTGTTAGTTTTAAAACTCATAGAGCCAAATTAACACGCCCCTTATAGTAATAGGACCAGGAGTGTAATTTGCTCATTTGTTAAATTAATAATAGTGCGTGCATCGCACGTGACACTTACTAGTGATTATATATATGATGATATTTCACTCGCAACACAAAAAAGTACAAAAAGACTAATAATTGATGATAACACAGTATGTCGTAAGTCTTTGAAGTTGATGAAGACATTTCTAATCTTTTTGTTTTGCGGCAAGATCAATCAAATTAAAGACTTTTTTTTAGTACTCCTTATTACAAACAAACAAAGGGTTACATGCATAATGGAGGGGATAACACCATATATATGATGGATATATGGTTAGCAACTTAGCATTACAATATTGACACATATATAAATGGACAAACATTGGCAGTGAGACATCATTTTCCCTCTCGTTCAGTTTCAGCAACTCTTCTGATCTCTCAACGCTTCTACTGCAATTCTTTTCTTATAGTCGTGAACTAAGGAGGGGTTGAATAATATAATGTTGCTACAACAACTCCAACTATCAGTATTTAATTCATTTTTCCAAAGTTAGTGTTTCAAATTCCACAAATTAAAGTCAATCTTATACTTTGGAATTAATTTGCTCTTTTACAATTATTGGTGTAGCAATGGTCTTTACCATACTACAAATGGCCTACCCAAAAAATAATATAAAAAGGTAATGATATATATATGCATGTATACAATTCACACTGGCATCAGATTTGGTATAAAATATTTTAACAAAAATAGCATTCCCCATTACGATTTTATTATTATTATTTGAAAAAAAAAAAAGATAAAAGTATTTTACCGATTTCTCCCTCATTGGAAATAAGATGAATTGACGAAAAAGTACATGCCATCTCTCTCTTTATTCTCGGCGCTGCAACCGTCTATCGTGAAAGTTGAAGATCGGATCCAGCGCTCTCGCGTTCCAACCCTAGACCTCCATTCTCTCCGATATGATGTACAAAGGTCACGCAATTCGCCTTCCCTTTACAAACGGAAGCATAAACCACCACGCTAATCTTTCATTTCATCCTACATACTTAATTATCTTTCATTTAATCCATATTCTCCTTAACTTTTTTTCTTTTTTATGATACTTTACATACTTAATCAGCTTTTTCTTCTTTTTTATGACAGTTTAATCTGATGGCCTCCATTTTCTTTTTTCAGTTTACGGATAACATGAGTCGTAAGGGGGTGAGAGAGAAGGGTTCATCGTGATCCGTGGTTTTTGTTCTTCATTTTGTGTTAGTTTTCAGTGTGATCTATCTCTGTATATTTCGCACAGATTTAATTTGATTTAAGGTTTTGAATTTGATCTGGTGATTTGATGTTGATGTGCAGCGAGCGATTAAGGTCGGGGGAGAGGAGAGAGAAATAGATGTCGTCGTCGAGCACGCCGTGCGCCGCATGCAAGCTGCAACGCCGGAAATGCACGCAGGAGTGCGTGTTTGCGCCGTATTTTCCGCCGGACCAGCCGCAGAAGTTTGCTAACGTGCACAAGGTGTTCGGAGCTAGTAACGTGGCGAAACTGCTGAACGAGCTGCACACTTCTCAGAGGGAGGACGCCGTGAATTCGCTGGCGTACGAGGCGGAGTGCCGCCTGCGCGACCCGGTGTACGGCTGCGTCGGCTTAATCTCCATCCTCCAGCAGAAACTCAAGCAGGTGCAGCATGATTTGCTGAGTTCCAAGCGGGAATTGGCCAACTACATCGGACCGGCGGCCATGCAGCCACTTGTCCAGCATCCCGCGTTTCTGCAACATCCTAACAACCCTTCTAATTATCTCATGGGACTCCCCACAGTAGTGCCCCACGCCGCCCAGCTCATCGCGCATGATTCCCTGCAGCAACAGCAACAGCAACAACAGCCTTTCATTGAGCCTTACCATCAATTAGGCGGCGGCGTGGTAAGGACATACGATCAGCAGCAACAGCAGCAGCAACAGCAACATGAGCTTATGACGTTTAATAGTGGATTTGAGTCCGGAGGGCCGGTAAATGGCGCCAGGATATTCCATCAGATGAGCTCTGCCGCGTCTATGCCGCCCCCTTATGACACTCCTTATGGGATGCAACAGCCGGGGCAAGAACACTTTGATCCTAACCATGACCAGATTCAGCTTCAATCCCAACCGCCAATGCAACAGCAACAACAGCAGCAGCCGCCTCCTCAGCATCAAGAAAGATCCAAAAGTGAGGAGGGCAGGAGCGTTGATCCTTCGTGCTAATAACATCCTCCATCGAATCTCATTGTGATTGCTATATATGCCTCTCCAAACTTCATCTATTCTCCCAACACTACCATTTATTTCATCCAGCTAGGTCATCTCTTCATCTCTAATTAATCTCCTTCTCCCACTTCTCCTTTTCATGATTATAAACATAGTTTTTTAATTATATTCTTTCCTTTTGTTGCCAAGATTGTCACCTATATTTCTGTAATCACTAACCCTAAGTACAATATAGGTTTTAGTACAACTTGAGCCATAGCAACCGCAGTGTGAGAGTTACACTTAATGTGGTGAGCTCATTGTAGGCTCCTGGTCTTAGCACCTTGTGGGTGGACCCCTCCCACCTTGTGGACACCAAACACTGATTCTCTCACATTGTAGGACTATACACTCAGACACTAATGGGTTACTGAGTCACCATGATTTACCATCGGAATGGGGTATTTGGGGTGAGAAATTTTACCTTTTGTGGGCAAGATTTTAGTACAACTTTAGATGATCAGGTCCTCATGCCCTTATTTGTTAGATATATCTTAGTTATGAATTAGCTAATCCTATTATGCAGTAAAATTGTGCTAATTTATGAATAGGTAATGCATTTGACTATATAGTTTGTTGAACCATTGAATCATCATGGTTTACATCCTCCCAAATGCTCTATCCGACTGGGGTGTGGGGCCCTTAGGACTGGGGATTTAACCTTTTGGAAAGTATAATTTGTGCTAATTTAGTTTTCGCAATTAATAAGGTATGCGGTGCCAGACTTTTGAAGTCTTCGTCAGCTATACAGTTGAGTGGTTTTAGGTTGACAAATTATGCATAATGTAAATGAGCCTTCAGCAATTATTGAGATTTGAGAAGAGCGTTAGTACAGTTTTCATTGACATTACTGCATGAAAGTTGTAGCTTTGGCGTTTCTAGCCAAAAAAGACAAATAAAATTTTTACCATAATCTATCACTAAAAACTAACTGCACTAGTTATGATATTTCTTATTCATATATACATGTTCATGCTTATGTCTATTTATATAAATACGAAAACATATATAATAACTATTCACCATTATATCTTATAAATTATAACTGTGAATCGTTTTTAGCATAGACTTATACTAACCCGGTTTTGTCCAGCAGCTAATTTCAGGCATACAGAAGAGCATGCACAGCGGAAGTGAGAGGATCGGAGGATCAAATTAAAAAGATTGTTGAAATCGATCTGATGGTGAAATGTGTGTAGAAATTGAAAAAATTTCCTGATTTATACAGGTAGGGTTTTGACTATTGAAGGGTGTCCTGTAATTACACAGGGAGATCGGCACGTGAGAGATGCATTGATGGTGATATATATGTAGGATGTTTTCCGTTCGCAGTTTTCAGGCATCATTCTTTTTAATGTTAGCTATCTATCCATGTCCAGTGGACGACCATATATATATTTATATATATATATAGAGTATACTTAGCTACTATACTCTAGCCTGGTTTTAATTATCTGGAGAATTATATTATATGGTGTTCTCTTTTGTTTCTGGCAAACATAATGGAGTGTCTGTCTATTGTTCTGTTCCTTTGGACGATGTCATATTACTTCGCTTTATAACCAGATCTGGTCGCCTTCCCCATGAGAAGGTGATCAACTAGTCGCCTTCTCTGGTAGATGGTGACCGGTGACGGCTCGATTGGTCGTTGGATTTTTGCCTGAACTGAAATGAGGTCGTTAGATTTTCACCGAAGTGATGCATGAATTGAAATGACATGCAATAACAAGTCATTTACCCGTTTTTGAGCTTCATTGCCTCAATTTAACATGTTTGAGGGTTTAATTACACCGTTTAAAAGTTTAGGTGTCTAATTGACTTTTGGTGTAAAGTTTAAAGGCTTGTTTGACATTTTTCCCTTTCTTAATAAGTAACATTTCACATATAAGAATTACAATATTTACATTATAATTATACTTTGTAGTATCTCAATTTCAGTTATAAGTATTATAATATTTATCATTAGTAACTATCATTTTACCTTAAATAGTATCACAATTTCATATATGGATCGATATTACAATACCTATTATAAGTAACAATTTATTTATTTCAAATTGGTATAAAATTTTCCGTATCAAGTAACTATTCTAGATTCGACTCATTTTATAAATTATGATTCATGAGATGGTCTCAGACAAATGTGACTCAAAAACATTTATATCTAATAACTTAAAATGAAAATTAAAACTCTCCCTTTCATTAATTTTGATTCTTATGCTTAATTTGAACCCAACGCCCCCCATGAGAAAAACCAAATTCCACAGGTCATTAATAAACACTAGTGTTTATTTAACATGACCAATCAATAAACAATAATTGTATTGCAATTTGACTAGTTTTGAAAAAGCTTTCATAAGATCTTTTACTCCATTTATAATGTTGTCTATGAGAAAAAAAATTCTAAATTATTATTATTTTTAAATATATATATATTAGGTTTCCAACTTACACTATCTACACTAATTCGATCTAAACTTTTATTGCAAGTCATCCAATCAGTCATTAATTTCTACGATTGCCTGTACACTTTGTGGGCAAGAAGTGTTTATCACCCTTGATCAATTTTGTAAGTTTTGGATCTCCCAATAACCCGTTGAAATTACTGTTTTACCTATGACTGGAATGGACATGGTTTCATTGATTACGTTAAGGTTTGTATTGGTGAGCTTCATGTGGCAGGTGACCGTCAACTGGTTGGCTACTGTGCGCCTAACACTGCGAGTGGTTGATTGCTTCAGAAGGAGAGACTCCATTATTTTCAATCCTTAGCCACCTAACATGAATGCTTGAATTTGCGTGAATTGAACGACGACGTGGTCCACGGTTGACTAACGCCTTTTGCCATATAAATACATATATGTAAGCTGAGAATTAAGTAACCTATACTTTTGCTTACTCCGGCGGCTCTCCTGTTTCGCCTGTCTCTTTCTCCGTCGTCCCCTTCCGCCGTGCTGTGGCTTCGAATTGTCGGCGATGGCTTTCCAAGCTTGAGGGCGAATAGCGGCAAATTATATCGTGCACCACGGTGCATAATCAATTATGCACCGCGCATCAAAACGACGTCACCGTTCCGCAAAAAATAACTTTGTTCTTCAGTTTCATTTTGTATACACTGCAGTTTCAGTTCAACACAACTACAGTTTCATTTTGATATAATTACAGCTTTATTGTACAATATACACTCAAATATGTGAAATGTTATTCAGTTTCATTTCACCACAACTATAGTATCATTTTGATATAACTGTAGTTTCATTTGATAATATAAAAATAGAGTTAATACCTCCAATGGTCCTCCGAGTATTAGTGATCTACCAGTTGCGGTCATCCGAGTTTTAAATGACTTCCAATGGTCCTCCATGTTTTAAAAAATAACCACTAGTGGTCCTTTTAGGACGTCTCGTGGTCATTTTAAACTCAAGTTTTTTTTTAAGAATTAGCATCACGGGTGGTTATTTTTTAAAACATGGAGGACCATTGGAGGTCATTTAAAACTCGAATGACCACAAGTGGTAAATTGCTAATACTCGGAGGACCATTGAAGGTATTAAATCTATAAAAATAATACGTGAGGCAGTGTTGATTTAGATACACTGTAGTGTCACTCCGTTAACACTAACAGCGCACTGTTTCTTTACTTAAAGAAACGACGCCGTTTTGATGCGCGATGCATAATCGATTATGCACCGCGGTCCAAGATATAACGACTGGTCGTGAGCAGTATGGGCTCTTTTTCTGCATTTAAACAGCCCATCTGTCTGGCCTGTTTGGGTCAGCTTATGTCGACTCCCAATTACAACAATAATTATACGGTGGACCATATATCATGGTCATACGCTATGGATGTGTATATTGTCATGTGAAATTGTAGTTAAATTAAAATGATACTTTAGAGTTACTACAATAAATATATTGTGTGTATAAAATGAGACTATATAGTATACTTCATACAAATATGTATATTATCAAATGAACCTTTAGTAAAATTAAAATGATATTTAGTATTGTTATAATGAACCTATTATATGTATAAAATGAAAACTAAATATCAAAATTCATACAAATATGTATATTGTCAAAGGAACTTATTTAGGAACTAAAATGATACTTATTGTTGATGCAAGGAGACTAAGGTAGGGAGAGAGGGAGCAGAGCAATTGAGGGTGAGGTTGGGGTTTGATGCTTTGTTCAATGTTGATATGGATTGTGTTGGGTTTAGTGGGTTGTTGGCGCTATTTTGGAAGGATAGGGGGTCGGCTAGGCTCATCAATTATTCTAGAAATCATGTGGATGACAGTGTACAATTGCAAGGGGTTTTGATACCCGGCCTGCCCCATCCTGGGTTTTTCATTCGGGGTTTTAGTTTAGCGGTGAGGGACTGCATGCTTGCAGTTTGTAGATGTTGGGTTATAGGTTCACGTGGAAGAGGGGTAGAGGTACTGAGAGGTGGGTAGAGGAGAGGCTGTACAGGATCCTTGCTACTTCCAACTAGTGTAATTTTCATGTGCATGTCATAGTTTTCCATGTTAGGGCGTATACGTCTGATCACGACGCAATCTTCTTAGATGTGAGTGGATTGAAGAAGCGGGCAGGTGTGTAAGCCTTTAAGGTTTAAAATGGCATGGTTGGAGGACAAGGGGTGTGGTGGGGTGGAGGGCGCTTGGGCATTGCGGAGCTAAGCTTAATGAATGGGGAGGGGATTGATTTAGTAATTTTGGGAAGTTCTATCCAGTTGTAAGCATTGGTTGAATGCCTTGATGTCCTCACGTGACCAGGGGTCATTGGAGGAGTGTAAGGATGTGGATGCAGAGTTAGCATCATGGTTAGATAAGGAGAATGTGTTCTAGATGCAATGAGTGAAGCAACATTGGCTTCGGGGGGAAGGGGGCTCAAACTCGAAATTGTTTCACAAGTATGCCTCACATTAGAGGAAGAAGAACATACTCGTGAGGTTAAAGGATGGTGAGGGGAGGTGGGTGGAGGGGGAGGCAATGTGGGCATTGGTGTTGGATTACTACGTGAACAACTTTTGGGTGTCAGTTTAGTGCTCTTTAACGATCTATGGGCTTGGGTTAGTCCGACTGAGAATGAGGCACTGCTGAGGCCGTGGGAAGTGGGGGAAGAGAATGCGACTCTTTTTGCTATGTTCCATGATATGACCCTGGGCTAGATGGGATGAATCCTGGGTTTTATCAAAATTTCTGGGAGGTACTAGGGGTTGACGTTGATGATTTTTTTGATTGGTTGTTTGAACGCTGAAGAGTTGCCTGCAGGGTTAAATGACGCCAATATAGTGTTTGTGTCGATAAAGAAGGTGCTTGAGACAATGGTGAATTTGAGATGATAACAAACAAAATGAAGCCATGTCTCGAGGATATTATTAATGTTTCCCAGAGTGCCATTGTCCTAAGTAGACTCATATTGGATAACATCTTAGTGGCTGTAAAAGTGGGTTACTAATTGAGGAGGAAGCGAAGGGTGGTTGTGGGGTGGGCGGTGTTGAAGCTGGATATGGCGAAAGCTTAAGATGAAGTGGCGGTTCTAGCTTGGAGGGTATGCTACGTAGGGTGGGTCATGTTGTGTGTCTCCATGGTGAAGTATAATATCCTAGTGAATCGGTCGGTCGTTGGGCAGGTCACCCCAACGAGAGGGTAAAGGCAGAGGGATCCTTTGGTACTGTACTTGTTTATCATTTGTGTGGAAGGACTTTTTTTTTTTTTTTTTTGGTTAGGGGGGTAGAGAGGAACAAACGTATCTACGATATAAAAGTGGCTCGGGGGGCATCCCCTAGTGTCACACCTATTCTTTATTGATGATATCTTGCTCTTCTTTAAGGACTCAAAGGGGGGAACGATGGATGGTCAAATAGGGCCTAATGATTTATGAACTAGCATTAGGTTAGGAAATCAATTTCGATAAGTCCAACATTGTGTACAACTCGAATATGCAGGACCAAAGCAGGGAGGCGGTCGAGGGGTGTTTTGGGGTGAGGCAGGTGGGGGATTTTGGGAGGTACATTGGGTTACCATCAGTTGTGGGGAGGAATAAGAGACCGGTATTCGCTTATGTCGAGCACAAGTAAATGTAGAGGTTGGGGTCTTAGCAGAAGAGCTTATTGTCAAGTGCAAGTAAGGAGATTTTACTGAAATGTATGTCTCAGACTTTGCCGATTTGTACGATGAACACTTTTAATTAATTATTTTATTTAAATTTATTTTTTAAAAAAAATATTTTAAAATTGATAAACGCCATATCAGCGTACTTTCAGGTAAACAAGTCATTTTGGGTCAAATTACATGACTTTGTGTTGTTTAGGGACCCAATTACATTTTTTTTTTTTTTATTTTTTTATTTCTATGGCCTAATTGCGGTTTGGTGTGCAGTTGAGTGGCGTATTTGACTCTTATTCCTAATAATAATAATAATCAAGGGTAAATATGTCACTTTTTCCTTTTCCCTTTCCTTTGTATGGATGAATTGCAATTCATATGTGGACCTATAAATTGCAATTCATTAAATTG